CCTCACTTCGAACTTCCAGGCCCCACTCAGCGTTCAGCGCAACTGTAGCTCAGCATTGCGCAGTGCTTCCATTGCACTTCACGCATGCAGCACAGCCGCCGATACCATCATGGTGCCTACACCCACTCAAAGCCCTTCTTACAATTCCTGGCATCCAAAATAAGAAAATGTCGTCGCATCTAGCCCTGAAACAGGCCACATTACGTTTCCTGCAAGAGAAGCACAATGGACGCCTTGACATTTACACGGATGGCTCGGTGTCTTCAGTAAGCTCTGCAGGGGCGGTGGTTATTCCCGCGAGGCACATCACAATTAAATTCATGACATCGCATTTGACGTCGCCGACAGCTGCAGAACTTGCGGCCATACGTGCAGCTCTGGAGTTTATAGTGAAAGAACCTTCGGGAATTTGGTCTATCTTCTCGGACTCGAAGGCATCTCTTCAATGTCTTATGTCATCCTTTCGCCATGAACCTAATGAACAGTTAGTAGCTGAAATAAGGCTTCTTCATCACCAAGCAATCGAAAAACGGCACAGCATAGTGTATCAGTGGATACCAGGTCATTGCGGTATATATGGCAATGACCGCGCAGATGAGGCCGCTAGATCTGCACACGATGGTACCCAATACATAGCCATCTCGTTTTCAAGAACCAACGCAGCTACAAGACTTCGTTCGCTTGCACGTGACCTCACACTGGTACAGTGGAACTCAACAGACTTCACAAACGCGCGACTCCATAACTTGGATCCCGATCTGCAGCTTCGTCTTCCCCCAAGGATATCTCGAGCTGAGGAGACTCTTCTATGCCTCCTGTGGCTTGGAGTGGCCTTCACGAACGCATACTCTTATCTCATTGGGATAACCAGCTCCCCTAAATGCATTTACTGCAGTTGCGAAGAAACCATCGCGCGCCTTCTGTGTGAGTGCACCCATTTCAACGCGCAAAGACAAGAACTCACTGCAGGTCTGGATAGACTAGACGATCGGCCTTTGTTGGAACAAAGGATTCTGGGTCATTGGCCGAGCCCATCCTCAGCCCGGAAGGCTTTGAAAGCTTTGCTGCGCTTTTTGCGGACAACTGGCCTCTGAAACAGACTTTAGTGTCTTATACTCTTTGATGTTGCCTTTCCTCTGTCGCAACTTTTTTGTAATTTCTCTTTCTCTTCGCAACATTTCTTTTTAACATCTTTCATTCCCCTCACCCCTTTCCCCAGCACAGGGTAGCCAGCCAGTCTAACAACTGGCTAACCTCCATGTCTTTCCGCTTAAACTTTCTTCCTCTTCTTCCTCTTCCTAGGGGTCTTTACAGTGTTGACTGGTATTTGTGCCACTATTTCTTAGTCTGCCAACATTGCATGGTAGCCACTCTCACGTGGTTAGAAATCACAACGGGAACATGGATAGCATTCCGCCACCTGCATTCAGGGGCATGACGTGCGCTGACGTAACTCCTTCCTCTCTTATGCCATCCGTTTCTGGTCCGTCGCTGCGATGTAGCGGTTAGGATGCTCGGCTGCTAACCCGAAGGTCGCGGAGTCGTTCACAGCCACGGCGGTCGCATTTCGATGGAGGTGATGTGGCAGAGCCCCGTGTATACTGCGCGATGTGAGTTCATGTTAAAGAACACCAGATGATCGAAATTTCTTGAGCCCTCCGGTACGACGTCTCTCATTATCATATCGCGGTTCTGGGGAGAAAACCCGAGATACGATTAGAAGCGATGCAGCTTAATGTCGAGCTCGATCCGATGTGCGCTCCACTCCCCATCTCTCGCCTCGCAACGCCGACGCCGCAAGCGTCTGCTCACCTACGCTCGCTCCCCCTCTCTCTCCTCTAATCGGCATTCCTCCCCGCGGCGGTTTCGCACCGATTGAGCCTGTGCGTCCCCCTCTCTCTCGCCTTCTGGCGCCGACACACGCAACGTCTGCTAGAGAGTATCTTGGTTGAAAAAATCACAGCATATCCACGAAGTGAATGATGATGAGTGGGGTGAAGCCTCCGCCAGTCCGTCAGCGTTTTCCGTCCGTCCGTTCGTTCTTGTTCCTGTCCATCCACTCGTCCTTGCGTCCGTCCGTCCGTGCAGCTGTCTATCTGTCCGTCCGTCCATCCATCCGTCCGGCTGTTTGTCTGTCCATCCGTTCATCTAGTGAACACTCCAAAAACTGCCATCTCGCATCTTTTTATCATATATTCATCATATACAAGTACTGCCCTTCAGCCGACATTCCAAGAACTGAGCGAGAGGCGGTTAGCTACTACTACTACTACCTACTACTACTACTACTACTACTACTACTACTACATACATGGCGGACGCACGACCCACGGCTTAGGAGCTTCGCCCCTAAAGAACTGACTGTTCGCGCTGATCACGAGTAACTGGAAACCCCATATAGTGTGTGTGTGTGGGGGGGGGGGGGGTTACTGTGCGTCGCTGAAGAATACAAACTCTCAACCTTGCGTGTTTATTAAGACGCGTACTGCGGGTCTCTGTGTCCAACTGGAGTCTTCTATCTCTCATTAGGAAACACCGATTCATCACTGCGTGCTTTGCGCCTCCCAAGGTTTCTCTCCCGCGCAACGAAACGCAACTCCGCAATGAGTGCCAGCGTCAACGTTACCGCCAGTGCAAGCGTTAGCGCCCGCTTCTTCGCAACTACACATGGTTTCTTTTAGCGGTAGATGGTGTAATTTTTAAGTGCGAACTGCACTTTATAAGCGACCCTGAATCGGCCGTCCGCGGTGCGCCTCCTCCTCTCCCCTAGCAACGGTTGGAGAGCGGAGAGGAGCGTCTGTAGCAACGGCGCAGCGACGTCACACACCACGTGATTGCGCGCGCTACGCCCTCCACTTCGTGGCTGCGCGCGCCCGCGCTACCACGACTTACTCGAGATCGGCAAATTCATAATGAAATAATTAGAAGCGCAAACCAACGGGACATAAGAGAAGAGACTCAAGTGTCCCGTTGGTTTGCGCTTCCAATTATTTCATTATGAAGTTGTACCAACTAGCCCGCCTGTCAACCCTTCGCGAGATCGGCAAGTCGTCATAGGTATGGATCCATCGCAGGCATCAACCTCCACTGCGATACCTCCTACAACGAGTATAGCGCAATAGAGTGAGAGAATTGCACGCGTCGTTGAAGATGTCGCGCCGGTGGAAGACAAGGCAGCGCGGCGAAGGACCCGTGAAGCCGAACGCTAGCGGGCGAAGCGGGCCGTGGACATAAACATCATTATAGTGCGAATTTACTCTCAAATGTACGCGTAAACTCACCAATATTTCCCGAGAGGGTCTAATGGTTCTGGGGAATCGCAATGTGATCACACGGGGGATAGTTTACTAAGTTAACTCACTGGCGAATGCCAACGGATTTTAACTTTACTCCCCCTCATAGCATCACCCCGTGCATTCGCACTTAATCATGTTCACCCTCGGGGAAATGCGTGGGAGTTTTTTAAGCGTTCGTTTCTGTATAGCTAGCGGTGCACTCGCTGTGACAGCAAAAAGCACAAGCGCAAATCCCTGAAACGTGATTCGGTGAGTGCCCCGCCGCGGGGGTCACTCGACTGATGACCCGCTGGTCGCGGGATCGAATACCGGCTGCGGCGGCAGCATTTTCGATGGAGGCTAAAGGGCAGTAGGCCCGTCTGCTCCGAGTTAGGTGCATGTTAGAGAACCCCAGTTGGTCGAAATTTCCGAAGCCCTCGAGTAGGATGTCTCATAATTATATGGTGGTTTTGGGACGTTAAACCAAACATATAAATCAATCAAATCATTATTCGGTGAGAAAACACGCCAACACTGGGTTCCCACTGCATTTTTAATGCATAACCTTGTCGCTGCAGGCTTGCAAGATCACGCATTATCAGCAGTGCTAGAACAATAATGCTTATCTTCCGCCACCCTCTCGAGGGTTTGGAGATATCGAAACGACCCAACTCACGTGAAGATCGCCTTGAACCTGAGGTTAGACACCACTGCGGTTACGCCGCATTGGCGATAACATATCCCATAAGTGCAACGTTACAACTTTCGGTAGATAACGTGTTCGTTCTTTTGTTCTATCGATAGCCGGTAATTTCACCAATTGGTTTCACCACTTGAAGCAAAGGTTCGCTTCGTTTGCAGGACACGACGGACGTATATGAAAAAGGAGAATCGCACAGGACGTGAACACAGGAACAACGCGTGATAGTATGCATGACGCCATATATAATGTGAGCTGATACGTGTTTCTTTTTTTTTTATTAGAGGCGTTTTCATCGTGCTATCGCAGATCTGTAACGCGATTTCAGCAAGGCGCATGTTTTGATAGGAGGCTCGGCGGATGTGCGTGTTTGAGTGTATCATATGCAGTTTTATAGGAGCTGCCATTTTACGCATAACGTAATAGCTAACCGAGCATCATCAGATGATACGTCTTGCCGTCAGTAGTTTCTCTTTCTCTGGGTACAATCAGTGTCATCTTTAATCATTACTGCTACAACAAGTAAAAGACCCATTCTGTAACTCACATATGTCCATTACCACGATGTGCTTGCTCAAGCAGCAAGCGGGGCTCTAACCACTGCTTCATTTCCTTACGAAAGTTAGTGTTCGCGTCACCGTTTCTGTGAGTATTACTCTGTAGTAGTCATAGCAACATTGCTTTCTTTTCTTCGTTGTAATCGGATAAGTATCTCGCGCCCTTTTTGCTGATGTTCTCTTTTTTTTTTTCTTTTTTGCGTTGCTCACATGGTTGTGTCTGGCAGGAAAATAAACCGGTTGTTACTTGCTAGTACGTGCATTAGCCTGTGCTTGTTTTCCTATTTGTTCTTCCAGTTCGAGTCTATGGCAGGCATGAGGTCTACTTAATCGCCTGACACTATCCCACCACGATCGGCTGATTGACTCTCAATCTAATTAAGAACAATTACATGTTTGCGACTGTGATGCTTAGCTCACCCATTACATATACCACTAAAGCGCTGGTGATTTTTTTTTTTTTTTCAGCACCAATAACCATCCTGCGGTTACGGCATAGGTGGTCAAAACATGAAGGAGGACTTGCAAAGCGTGGCCCGACGAGAACTGGGAGAAACTCCGGAAGTGAAACGAAAGTCTTTGGCGGAATTACGGGAGCTCCTTGAAGGTAAATGCCGTCTAGACTGGAACGTTCCGTTTTCCTCATCTAGCAGTAAACAAGCCATGCTTTGCGAATCCGCGCCAGGAAGGCAAGGTAACTGATGTAATTGACAGTACAGTAACCAGGAAGCTGGTATAAACGTGGCATGATTACCGTAGTGGCATTGAATAAGACAGGTGTACCGAGTGTATTTGTGAAAACTGTATCCGTTTTGTTCGTCAGCACGAGTAACAGAGTAGCCATATGGTATGCGGTCATGCGCGTATATATAAACACGCATTTACGGAGACCTTTGAACCGGCGCCCTTTCTCGCAACCCCCAAACCCCTGGCTAGGCCACTCGTCGGTATACGAGCCCTTTTCTGCGAAATACTAACTTGTGTGACGCAGGTGTTGTCGCAATGTAACGCCATGTTTGTTTACTTACGTGTCATGATATTTTGCGGACTAGTTCTGTTATTTAAGTCGCGGTTCAAATTTCAGGATCACAAGATGGCGGTTTTGCGTTAGCAACGTTTGACATTCTTTGTTAATAAATGAGCGTATCAGCTCCTGTAGCCTCTAAACGTTGGCAATTCGCATGTTCTCTGACACGTATAATGTATCTAAACAGATGAAGTCATGCTTTTAACATGCAATGCCACTTTCCGCTAAAAATTTCTGTTCCGATTGTCATGATGAGGAGTGCTTTTTTTTTTTCGTATAGCACTTGCGCGATGATTCGTGATTGTTGCTAAGATGTTGTAATAACACAGTCGTTGTATTGAAAGCCGTTTGCATCCAGCCGCCATGATATTAATAAATCAGTTTTCATTTTTGAAACAGGATACATCTGTTCGTTTGGTTCAGCTTGAATTGACGCAATGAGCTTTCATCTCAGTCAGCCGTCTTACCAGCGAAGCTGTTGTAGCTCGCCGTAGTTTGTGCGGTCAATAAGTCCGCCATACTTTATTAAAGAGTTTCAGAGTAGCGCAGGCAGAGCGTGGGCGTTTCGCATCATTGCGCATGCATTAAACGCTAACTTCTTGCGGACTCTCGTTAAGTGACGAAAGCTAATGCCACGTGCCCAACGCCCGCAAGCTTTGCGAATAGTATTCTAAATCTCTTTATTATAGTCCCGAGAGACGCGACTAGCTTGTAGTGGGCTCCTCCCATGCTATCGTCAGAGAGAGAGAGAAAATACTTTATTGAACAAAACGGGCCGAAAATTTGGTTTCGGTGGCTTTAGGTGGCGGCTCGTCATCGTCGGCCTGCCAGACGGCCCGGAGCTGCTCGTTCAGCTATGAGCTTTTGAGGGACAGCGGCGACGCCGACGACAGAGGTCCCCCGGGAAAAAAACTCCTGTAGCGCGTATGCGCCATAGGCATCGTGCCAGCGACACTACCGTATACTGCTAGTGGGTGGTGGTTCTTGAAATAACCGAAAAAGGACCTAATTTTTGTTTACCTCGTGGACGACACGGCTAAGCTCCTTGGGAGAAGGGGGAGGAGGCGTCGATAAAAAGATAGTAAAAGGAGAAAAATACAGAAGACGGAGCACTCGTCGCACAAGAGCGAGAGAAACAGGAGAGAAAAGATGGGAAAGATGGAGGACGCGGTCGAAGGAGTCCGAATGCGGGGCATCACCCGGCGAAAGCTACACGGCGTCAGGAGATAGCGGACGGTGGACCGATCCGCCAAAGCTACGCCGGTTACGGAACTCAACAGGCGATTCCATATTGCAAGTGCGAGTGTCAAACAAGAACGAAGACGTGAAAATAGAGAGAAAGAATGATAAAGAAATAAGAGAAAAATAGATATCAATAAAGGGAATAAAGGCAGAAAAAGACAGACAGGGAAAGCTTCAAGATAGAAAGACAGAAAGAAAAGGGAGGAGAAATAAGCAGAGAGATTAACAAAGAAATAGAAAAGGAATAGAAAACGCAAAAAATTATAAACATAATAAAAAACACACTGCACTAAACTGAAGAAACTGACACACACATAAAAAACTGAGAAAAGCCAGCAGGACAGATGGAGAAAGAAAAACAGGAACGAAGAGACACAAAGACAGCGAGGTGAAGAAAAAATAAATTAACATAGAAAGAGCCAGAAACAGAACGAATAGATAGTGACAAAAAGAAATGAGTAGAAAGAAATATACAAAAAAGAGCTACAAAAACATATAGAAAGAAATCAACGGATGTACGAAAGAAAAAAAAATGTGCTCAGCATTGTCAAAAAGTGCAGCACCGTCACAGTGAACACTAGAAGAGCGGCATTTCTAGAGCTCTTTGTAAACTCTCTTGGGGCTACTTTTCCAAGTACACTTGCAAAGTACCCTGCTACGATATAAGTCATATTTTGTGTTTACAGTGGGCTCTAGAAATTTGGCTTAGCTTTCGCTATGACTGTGCTGTGCCTTCCTCGCAGGCCAGGTAATTTTGTTTAATAATCTACCTTCTCTTATTACTTGTCTCATACTGGGCTTCCTACCAAAACAGGAGAAAAAGAGCTCGTGGTTCCTCCGGACGACGTCCTAGTCATGTTTCTTCGTTCCAAGAAGTACAGAGTGCAAGATGCATATAAGACAATCAGAAAATACCTCCGGGCCCGCAGGGACGTGCCAGAGTACTTCGACAACCTAACACCTTCGAGCATTCCGTACGAGGCGTTCTTCCACGAGCACAAGCTCATCATGTTCGCCAGGAATTCGCAAGGACATGCAGTGGGCTACCTTCAGTTCGGTAAGTACTCTTTATATCCTTTGTAAAACAGTGGTGCAAATGCGTACTACTTTTTTCATGTGCTTAAACTGCCCATAATACAAAAATTGCCAATCCTGCGCTGAACGCGCATCTAGTCACAGCAATGACTGTGACTCTGCTGGGTCACAGTGACAGCTAATCTTTTTAAGTGATCGTAAATGTTGTTCTGCAGGCTTTCCACCAATTGCAGTGTTTTCAGCAAGTAGTGCCTCACGTAGGGTTAAAGAAAAAAGTACCTTGGCGCTGACGCGTCGGAGATGCGTCTGAAATTGAAACTTCTCGCAATGATGTGCAAGAACACTTTGTGTCACCGCGATAAGGCAGCCGAAAAGTTAAAGATTGTATGTGATTTAACTCCTGTAAACCTATATAGTTATCAATGGCGAAATGCATGTTTGGTTTGGTTTTTCAAGGTCTATACACATTGTGTATCATTAGAGCTACACTCCTAAATAAACGCAGTTATACTTACTAATTTTTCAAGTAGTGACGGGCTGTCACAACATTCACTACTTTAGCAGTAAGTGCAGGTGGTAGACCACAAACATATACTAACTCAGGAGGCTTTTGAGGTAGTAAATGTCTGTGGTCTACTTTTATGAGTTCCTTATATTAATGTAGAGTAAATATTAAACTACTTTTGTGAGGACACGTATTACTCTCGTGTGATACAGATGCCTATGATGCGTAGGGATCAATTACGTTATGTTTTCTTCTTGAAATGCGCGGCTTTTCAGTGGGATTGCGCGCGCGCGCGCGGACAAGTCGCGGCCTTCCACGGCGGCCCTAATAAGAACGGAGCGCGCCATGCTCAAATCAGCCAAGTTACTAGGCCCGGGTCGTATTGATGTTGAGCCCGTAGCGTCATTTGTCGAGAGAAGAGAAAGCGATGTTTAGCTGGCTTTGAGAATTCATTTGTTAATTCCAGGCCTCGTGCTGTGCTATAGCATTTGGCACGCGGCTTGTTCTCGGTAGCTCCGACTTGCTGATTGGCAGCGTTTTCTGACCATGCTCAAAAGGTGTGTAGGGTCCCTTTAGTGTGCTCTGACATCGCACAGTAAACCAGACTCTAGCATGTCACAGTCCGTTGAAATGCGATCGCCGTAATCGGAATCAAGCCTTAACCTTCGATTAGTAGCCGATATCCTAACCACTACAGCCAAAATGAAGTAAGGCTCCGAGATATCGTAAATATTGGTTCCTTCGATAGCGGTTGCACGACATTCCATGTTTGGATGTACAAATCGTTCATCTGTACGCGCTAAACACCCTAGGTACAATAAAGGTTTTCTTTGTTTTTTTGTCTTAGACGTACCTCAAAGGTAATGTTTACTCACGTATCTCATAAAGGTGCCTGGAACAGCACCATCTGCTCAATTGACGACCTCATCAGGTGCGCATTAGTAGCCACGGAATCTAACCTACGTGAAGAGGAGACGCAGATACGTGGTCTTATCGGCGTCATAGACCTCAAGGGCTTCGGTGCTCACCACATGATGCTGATGACCCTGCGCTTTGCGCGACGGGTCATCTCCATTGGACAGGCAAGTACTCACGTCGGCTGCTAGAGAAAATTAGTTGTGCTTCGCACTAGTGATGCTAAGCCTAAAGGAATAGCAGAGCTGGGCGGCTTGCAGTATTTCTTTTTCCATCTTCTTTCTCTTTCTCTCTGTTTATTAGATCAAAAGCCACTTATAGGGAAGTCTAATCCGGTGTGTGGTGTGACCTCCCTTACTGCGCATGTGCCACCTCTTCCCGTCTTCTCGCGTGAGCGTGAGAAGCTAGGAGGGACCTCTCTTCGCGCAAACGCGAGGAGAAGGGGGATGTGCGCATGCGCAGTGGGGGAGCGGTCGGTCGCAGAGGTAGAAGGAGGTGGGGTGGTGGAGGTGGCATAGTGCTGCCAGCGCTTCGTTGCTCCTGTCCCATTTATCTCTCCGCCACTAGCTGTGAGCTCGTATATAGTTCTGCGCTCACTCGCTCCGCAGCACTCTCCTAGCAGCGCTGAGCGTTCACTTTGCGGCGCACACACGGTAATATACACAAATAGGAGAGGGGGGGGGGGGTAACATAAGCGATATACAGCATATACAAAACTCCACAAACAAATTAAACATACACGGAAACATAGTAATAAAAACTACAACTTGAAACACAAGTAAACAACAGTGCTGTTTCGCGTTCCTACATTGTACCCTTTAGGGGGAGACGGTGTAACTTATCTATATATTTTATGTATCAGTTTCTATCTGTGTCCATTAATTGCTTTATACTTTATTCATTTTCTCTCGCAATGTGTCGCTTGCTCTGTCTTTTATTTTTCATGTATCTATTCTATGTATTTTTGTCTATCCTTATGCATTTTTTTTTCTTTTTATCACTTGCTATCTGTCTGTCTCTCTCTATCTCTCGGTCTCTTTCACGTACTTCGCGTGTTCCTCATCGCCGAACAGAATTTCCAAATAACGCTCGCACCTGCTGTACTCAGTAGTCGGGCTTTCCCAACACCTGCGGCGCATGCATAACCACCCGATGAGTGTTGCATGTGGGCGCACAACTTACTGATAGGCTGAACAGCTTTAGTGCTGAAATCGCTCACAGTGGGCGAGATACGGACAAGCCAGCCCAGATAACACGAATGCTTAGTTATGGGTGATAACTACCGAGGGTCACTTCTGCAGCTTCCTCATCAAGCAGGGCGCCATATAATCGAAGGGAAATTGTACACTTAAATTAGACGCACCTAGGATTGCTGCACTGAATGCCTTGATCCATACTTATGCCTTTGATTTAGGCATCGGCTTAGTTGACAGGGGCTGTTGGTTTATACTTTCCTGTTTTCATTGAACGATATGAATGAGAAGGTGTAAAGGTATGGGCGTGAGGTAAAAAAACGCCACATGAATGATTATATAAAAGTTATCACAGAAACAGAAAAGATGTCGGATAAGAAGTGTGTCCAATACCGGCTCTTGAACGAGGTGCAGTTTGTTTGTTCTTCCTTTATTAAGAGTCATCAATTTTTAAATATATTATTGGCTTCTCTGCAGCCTCCTTGTTGGCTAATGTGACCAGGTGGCTAGAAATAACCCCGCATACATATACCAAAAAGTCCAGGAATTTCGGTTTGTCGTAGACATTTTTTTTTTTTTGTTCAGAGCGCACACTCACAAAATGTGAGAGCATACGGCCGTCACGCCGCTAGATCTACATACTTACTGTTTACTCTCATTAGTGTTTTTTTATTTACATTTAGGGTTCAGTGTTATTACCGGGAAATTATCAAATATATACGATTGACGTCTGCGAATTATCTTGCCTTCAAAAGTTTCCCTGTCATCCTTCTATAGGACTCACTGCCAATTCGTTTGAAGGGAATCTACTACCTCAACACTCCAGCTGTCTTCAGGATTGTACACGCACTCGTCAAACCATTCCTCTCTGCGAAAATGTTGAAAAGGGTAAGACACAACTCGCAGACATTCGCGAGACAGTTCATGATATCTTTTTTTTTTTTCTTTTAAAGGTTTGGGTAATGCAACGTGGTAGCTAGGAGTACAACCAAAATTCAGTATTCCGCGTAGCAGCAAACAAGTGCACGAATGGACTTTCTTCATTGGCTGAAATTGAGTTATATATCGTGATGTGTGGCAAAGAAAATATTATGAGAAGGGGAAGACAGTAGGGGAGTTCAGACATAGGTAATGTCAAGATTTTAAGAATCGATCTGGGCGGACAACGCATTGCGTAGGATAGGCCGTGAAACGATTGTATGCATCCCAAATGTATGAAAAGTGCGGCCAGGAACTGTGAAAAGCTACATTGAGCATCGAAATCAAGCAATTCACAAGCATAAAAATTGAGGTATCTTTACCCGTCGCCTTCAAGAGTTGAAGGCGATAGCGATATCCTGCTTCTAGTGCCTACTTCAATCAGTTCTTGCATATTTATTTATTGTACGATGTTACTCAAGAAGTTTCAATTGCTGATTACTACAATGTATACGATGACGTGTAAAGTGGCTTGCATCAGAAAAGTTTTCGCGTATGCCGGCATTCTGCGGAATGGAAGCAGGAGCAGTTATGCCCGTGAAATGTTCTCAAACTTGCTATGCACCGATTACGTGGTCTTAAGGGAATACGTGCAGTAACGGGAGAGCCTTTTGTGAAGGGTGGCTGCATTTCATTCACAAGGTCGTTATGAAAACAACACTTCTGACGTCAGGTAGCTATGTACGCCGGCACGCCGCAATATTACTGCGATGTTAAATGTATTATGGAGCCTGTAAACAGAGCAGCTGGACAAAGGCAGGTCCCCTGGGAAGCAGTATTAGCTTTTATTTCTGTCTCCTCTCTTTCGGTGTGAAAATAAGTGATTGATTGATTGATTGATTGGTTGATTGATTGATTGATTGATTGATTGATTGATTGATTGATTGATTGATTGATTGATTGATTGATTGATTGAATTCACACTCTTGTTTGTAAAACCCAGTTATTTTATCTGCATTTCTAAGCAAAGAAACTTCTTTTCAGCATTTATCTGAGCATGCGTATGGCTGTGTGGTGGATCATCTTGCCACGCAAACAGCCTGGCTCACTCGATCCCGGAAATTTTTACTATTACAGCGAAAGCTGTATATGGCTAAGAGAAACTTAGAACTCTCCGGGAGCTCACGAGTGGTCTTTATTGGTTATTCTATCAGTTACGTCATTCCCAGCTTCGTACCCAAGCGCTCGTGCCATTGGCTAAGTTGCGAGTGACGTCGTTCATGTCGTCGCAGCCATGGCACAGAGCACGCACGCATCCCTTTCTCCTGAAGCCTTCCCCCGCCGCGGTGGTCTAGTGGCTAAGGTACTCGGCTGCTGACCCGCAGGGCGCGGGTTCGAATCCCGGCTGCGGCGGCTGCATTTCCGATGGAGGCGGAAATGTTGTAGGCCCGTGTGCTCAGATTTGGGTGCATGTTAAAGAACCCCAGGTGGTCTAAATTTCCGGAGCCCTCCTTTACGGCGTCTCTCATAATCATATAGTGGTTTTGGGACGTTAAACCTCACATATCAATCAATCAATCAATCCTCAAGCCTTCCACGTGGTTACGTGATGGACAACTCTAGAAGAACGCCGAGAGTGGAAACGTGAAACAAATCACATTCGCCGGGCCAATGGTGCCGTCCTGGCGCAAAAAATTGGCAGCATATCCACGGAGTGCATGATGGAGAGTGGGGCGAAGCATTCGTCCTTTCATTCGTTCTTGCTTCCATCCATCCATGCGTCGGTCTGCGTGACCGTCCATGCGTCCATCCGCCCGTCCGTGCGTGGGTCTATTCGTACGTCCATCCCTGAGTTCGTCCATGCATCCGCCCCTGCGTCCGTTCATGCGTCCATCCATGCATCTGTCTATGTGTCCGTTCGTCCATCTATTCAACACCCCAAGTACCACCATCTCGCATCTTTTCATCATATATGCCCCATATAGAAGCACCGCCATCCAGCGGACATTCCAAGGACTAAACGAGAGATACCACACATGCACACTTTTTTATGGCTTGCGCATCGGGTCCACTTCCCACCTTTAACCACCTCGAGTTCATGGTATATACTAGTTCACTGTATTCATGGCACTGCGGCCCAACGCTCGCTAAACCTTTGTAAAACCAAGGAGGTTACACCCAGCGAGTATAACGTAGCAACCTTTTCCTGTCAGATAATACTCAATGTACATGCCAATGGCTGCTAATGGGGATCGCAGCGTGCGCGTTAACTAAAAGCCGAATGCTCCTGTCTTTCATTCCCCATTAGCAGCCATTGGCATATACATTGAGCACTATTTTTTATTTTTCAACAACGCACAGAAGAAATCTCTCACCGGCACCACCTTGTATGTCAAAATGTTATACTTGTTACACACTACAACGGTTACGAGGGACGAAAGGGTGCCGCTAGTAAAAAGCTTCGCCCCTAAAACAGCCCTGGTAAGCCGAGTTCCGGCAGCAACTGAATACGGAGAATGCGGCAGCCTTTCGAAGCCGGCCTAAATCGCGAACAGGGAATGCAAGCGCCAGTCGCGGGCGGATCATGTAAACCACGTGGCCGAGTTATCTCGCTAAGTCAAACGCTTGAGAGAGAACAAGAGGTTAATGAAAGAGGAAGAGATAAAAAGGGCACTATTTTCGACCTCCTGACGCAGTGGCATGGCTCAGCGTCTTAACTCGCTTGCAGAGGCTTGCAACAATGCCGCGTCGAACAATGAAAGTGTGGTTCTTGAAGAAGGGAAAACTAAGCTGCCTACAGGTGACACAGCGCAGCACCTACGCTGAACAAGTGACCTTGTGGCACTTGTTCGGTGTCGCAGCCTGATATTGACTCATCTAGAAGTCTGTACCTCGCACGTGCGGCAGTGTCTACATCAAACAGAGTGCCAGATGTGTCAGTATTTGACTGCGAGAGCATGGCAATTCTTTGAACCAAGGAGTTTAGTCTCACCTCATCAGTCGTTGCCATGATTGTCGTTCCTTGCCTTCCTTTGCGCAGACTTCGATCACCGATCCCCGTCATAATGCACGCGTGAGATAGCTGAGGCATATACCACAGGGTGAAGGGTGCTGGCGATTGTGTAAGCCAGTCATCAGTTGCATTATCTGAGCAAGAAATCAGTTTCATTGATCGGGTGTAATCTTGCGCGGTGCATGGTTTTCTGTGTAAACATGCATTCTCTCAAATAAACTTTCAGTTGCAGCAGCGCTTGTCCTGATCCCTTCTTTTGTGTTTTCAATTTGTGTGCTACCCAGTAACAAGCGGTTCATATAATCGCAATGAAAAACACCAGCAGAAGGTGCATGCATCACGTCTACGTCAGCTTTGTTACTACGTCTACGGCTGTACTTGCAATGTTGAGTGAGTTGGAGTGAATAGGCAGGAAAAGGTGCAACTAGGATTCAATGTACCTCTGATTTATCTTTTTACCCTTGAGGAAGGGAAAACAAAATCGATAACGCGAGAGCCTTGCCGTTAAGACTTTTGCAGACAATAAGACGAATCCTGCAGGTTAAACATGGCGATCATTAGAGATTACAGGGGGCACGACTTTGTAATGTTTTAATTTCTTGCAAAAACATGGGGAAAACAGTGACGGAAATCTTGCTCTTCTTTGTATAGTGTATGCTTCGTATATGATGCACTAAGCACTAGTGCTGCATCCTATATATTGTGTATTGCAAAACATAGCTTGTGAATTTGTTAGTCCAGCAATATAAACATGAATTAGTCAGATGATGATTAACAAAACGATAAAGACTATCCACCTTATTCTCTTTCTTTTTTTCAGTTACAGTTCCTTGCAGGTGGTATCTCGGAACTTCGTGACATTGTGCCTCCAGAACTAATACCTAAGGAATTCGGTGGGACGCAAGAAGACTTTGATTTCCACAAACAAGAAAAATTCTTCCACAGCAAGGCCGGATACTTTGAAGAGATGCTGAAGCGTGGCTACCCGAGGAAGTGAACGAAATGCTAAGCCACGCCGAGGAGACCTTTTTTTTAATTATCACCATTTTAGTTATCACACCCCAGTCAACTTTCAGCAACAAGTCACAATAAGATCGGAAACTTTTTGTGTAATTGCTTGGTGAGACAGTGCAGGAAAATGTTTTCCTTTTAAACCGCGTGTTTGAGCACACAAAAATACTTTTTGTGGGCTCATGCATTACAAAAAAGAATGGAAAACGTGGACTGAACAAAATTGCATTTTAATTTTATGATATATGCTTCCTATATAAATTCACTGAACGCGATCGAGTGCTGTATCCTATATAGCAAGAACCCCCATCATTTTTTGCTCAAATACGTCTTTGGGTGTATATTTATCAGTATTCGTGCGAATTTGCGAAGACGGCATATGTAAATAAATGTTTTCTCTTTTTTTGTGTGCGTGTGAAGACGCCTGCGAGATCACAAATGCTGCCCGTCGCTTGTCACAGAGACGTAATGAAACACAAACATCAGCACCGCGTCTCATGCTTACCTTTCGTTTAAACCAATCAATTCTGTGCTGGAAATTAACTGTAGTAACCACTAGTAAATGTGATGGTGGTACGGGGAATGTCAGCCAACTGGAGAATATTAGAGTGGCCAAAAAAAAAAGGTCTCTTTACCACGTTCACTATTCCGTGGCAGAAGCGCAGAATCGCACCAGACATCAAAACGTGTTAATTACGCAACGACTGTGAAATTCAAAGGTCCACCCATTCTAGAGCACCCTGAAATATTTAGTTATCATCAGCTGCAAGAGCTTTAAATAATTGAGCAGTTGCGTAGGTTCGCGTGTTTCCTTACGAACGCGTTGTGGGCTCTTGGCTGATTCGTGGAAAGAAGAATTAAGGCATAGTTGGCACAGTAACAACTGCATACTCACAACTGGCATTCTAGGACAGTTTAAATCGGCAATGTTTTGGGCACAGTCATTAGTTTCTTTACGGCCCGCTGGAGGCATGCAACTAAGCCTCCTAATAGGAAGCAAGAGTTAAACAGAAAGAAAATTGAAAGAAAAACAGAAACGATTAAAAATAAAAGAGCAAAAAAAAACAGAAGCAACTGAAGAGTACAAGCAGAAAGAAAAAAGTCGAAAAAAAAGCTAGGCTTCATTGGTCAATATCTCTGAGGGGGTATCAACCCTATTTTCAAAGAAACAAACAAACGAGTCGAAGACAAACAAAAAGGCCGCCCATCTGCGCGAATCCTTCTGGCTTGGCATACTTACTGCGAAGCTGCATTATTATTATTATTATCATTATTATTATTATTATTATTATTATTATTATTATTATTATTATTATTATTATTATTATTATGAGTTCTTTTTTTTTTTGAAGGAAAGCTTCGGCATCTCAATCGTGCACGTATATTTGTATATGCACTTCCTCATCGCCCCTTTACGCTCACAGTCAGCACAAGTGGACACAACATGGATAACGGTAAGTTATTCAGCCATTTTGCTGCGGCTGTGTTATAACTTGAAGTGCGCGCACAGGTGCTTCCTCGTGCTTTGCGCTTTATTTTTTCAGGTGCTACAGGTTAGAATCTACGATACTTTTAAAATCTTGCTCGTCAAACAAATTATTCTAAATTTTAGCGCATTATTACTGGGCAACGGAACTCCAGCCGCACAGTGTCTTCACATGAGAATAGCGGCACTCGTGTGTTGTTTCTGCCATCAGATTTCATTAACAACGCTTGAGAACATCTTTGTGGTCATAAAATAATACCAAACATCTGGAACGCTAAATAAATGTATAAAAAAAACGAACGCATCCACCGTTTACAAGTTTGTTGTTCTTGTTGTTGTTGTGCAGCTGATAGTTCGACGACTGCTTAGGAGAGGCAGTTTGTCGTTTCTCGAGGATAAATTACATCAGAGCATACCATGGACACGCAGTGACATCTGTGGTATACATGTAAAACCTTCTTCTGTGCTTGCATGAGGACATCAATGTGGAACGGAAGGATTAAGTGCAATTCGATGTCACTTATGAATTTTCATGTAGGTATCCTCACGTGAGGCCGCTAAGCACTGGACAGTTAAGTTGTGGACCAAAATAAACACAGCAAAATTTTTAATATTCAATTTAGGGTCAAGTGCGTTTGGTGACTTGGCAGCGAGCAATGCCAAACGACTGATCCGGTTATTCGATGCAACGTACATGCTGCGCGAATACTTAATTTTTTTTTTGTTGTTTAAAAAACTCCGTAGAAACCCTTTGTGCGCGGATCACGGCATCGTAACAGGCCACGACTCTACAGACATCGGCTTACGAGTGCGTAGGTACCGTTGACGGCCTCATGCAGCAACGAAGCGCAGCATTTTCTCACAAGTGATGTATTGAGGGTCTGCCATTCTACACTCTAAAAAAAGAGCGAGTAAAAAGGGTGTCTTTTTGTCCCACAACAATAATCGTCATCTATATTGCGTTACATCCTTGCGCTATCGCCCCGCGCCCGGTAAATTCCGGTCACGATGGACATGCCCATTATCAGGGTTATATTGTATTCTCGATAGGAAAGTGGCCAGCACCGAGTTTTCAAGAAAGGAAGCGCACGCAAGCCTGATGACGAATATTGTTGTGGGACAAAAAGACACCATTTTTCACTCGATATTTTTAGAGTGTATTTTTGCAAGTAGTATACAGTCATTAATAAAATACCCTGTAGATCGAGAGAGCATCGACTAAATAGAGGAAAATAAGCATCGTATATTTCTGCACAGCGGCAGCTCTTTTTTCGTCTAATGGCACCTTCCAGAAGTAGCTTTCAAGGTCCTGAAAGTTTGACTACTGTGGCCATTCTTTGCCACCGCTGAATTGAAATTTCCACAGTGAAAAGCAGTCATCTGGAGTATGGCAATCGGTGTGTGAAACAGTATAGCCAACGTCACCTTTATGTCTAGATAGATATGTGGTGTTGATTGATTGAATTAACGCTGAACTAATCCGAGTAATTGAATGAAAAACGTAAAAACGCTTCCGATAAATATGCCTCATAACTGCACCGTGCCAGAGAAAGCGCCACCACCTGGACAAGCACACGATTGCTCCGGCGCAAATTCGGGCTCCTTAAGGACCTCTTCCAGGCTTCCGGTGAGGGAGGTGGCTGCAAGAGCTCTTCGGGTGGATAATTTATGGGGCCAGCACATGATACCTGGTCTTGTCCTGCCTGTGCTAGGCCACAGTTAATACACTTGTGTAGCTTTTCACCTTTTACTATTACGGCCAGCCTACTCGAGCTGAGTATACAATGATTCTGAGCCGTTCGCAGCGTAGTCGCTTGGGCCCGCGGTTAATGCTTCATTTGGAGCTGGATAAAGCCTTCTATGTTCTCGGTGCTAACATAGCCCCCGTCGAACTTAGTTTCCTTCATTTCCCCTCCCCTTTCTGAAAAGTAAAGTTTATTCCTCCTCCTCCTTCCTCCGGCGCCATCGTCGTTACATCACTAGGGAGGACAACCTGCCGTAACTCGCTTAACATGACACGTATCTCGACTGCCGTAACAAACGGGATAAGGTACAGTAAGAAGTAACACGCGTGTCGCAGACCGAGTTGACGAATCATACCTTACCAAACTCTATTTGTTCCAGGGAAACTCCACATGCCTGACTCAAACAGTGACGTCATGAAAGGTATTCTAAACGGAGCAGTAGGAACTCTGCAGCCGGGAGTCACTGGGTTGCACGTGCACTTCTGAGCACTTCGTCAAGTTCCACAGTATGGAGCTGCATTTAGCTTACGATTGAGCAGTACGAAAATCGCCACACAAGAATGACATTTTTTTTTCTCTCTTTTTTGTACATCATGCATCCTGCGTGTTTTCTCTTCGTAGTCGTGCATTTTGGTCTTGTTTATCTTTTGTGGGCATAACCAACTAGCCTTGTCGACTAATTTAAAAAGTCTTAGACCGGCTGGGAAGAGTGGTGTAGGTAACTAATTGTGCTAAATGTCTTATGAATTTACGCATTCGTAGCATTCTCTGTAAAATGTCGTACGAAAGATGACGCGGATCTTCACATACAAATATTGCATCTGAGTGCCTTAACAATGGGTATGTAGCCATGGCGAGTATTCATTTTAATGGGCAGTGTAAAAGTACACTTCTGCTCAGTTCTATACAAGTGCAATGTTCAGCTTCTCCTTTAAGAGTTGAACGCGATGGCGACGTTCTGTTCCTATTGTGCGTGCTTCAGACATTTTATAAAATCTTTCCGAACTTGCTATGCACCCACTATTCGTAGCCTTAAGAGCGCATCAACGTGTTCGGGTGAGTGGCTTTAAACGGTAAAGTTATTATGATAGCCCCATGTTCTGACACTATATATCAAGAAACGCTCCGACCATGCATCATTTATTTTATGTTGTATTGTGTTTCACTGCATTTCCGAGCAGAAGAAGTTATTTTCACCTCATTCACCAACAGACGCGTGGCCCTGTAGAGCACCCGCTTGCCACACAAAAGAGCCGGGTTCGATACCCATGCAGAACTAGAGTTTTCTATTGTTTATGTTATTTGCATCTTTCTCAATTTTCGGTCACGCAAGAATGATAATTTTTCGCTCTTAACTAACGACGCCGACATCGGAATTTCTGCAAAACGAGCTCTTTAGCGCTGTCGCGTTAATACGCTTGCGGGTATATTGTTTCGGTGATGGCCCGAGAATATATTCAAAGGTAAACAATGAGTGGTGCTGTTGTCCTTCATACCACAGGCGTAAACTTTAGGTGAGGGCTCGCATCCACCTTCACACTTCACCGTCGAATAGCTTCATGCTTGGAGAAGGGGGGGGGGGGGGGGGAAGCAAGCTTTTATATTCCGGCGGAGTTGTATGAAAAACCTACGCCTATGGCTCTTATCATATTATCTTACTGCAAAGTCTGTCCTGCTATTCGCTACATAGAGAGAGCTACAAAAAAATTGGCTAGCGTATACATTACGCTAAGGTCGCACAGCCAACCCCAGTTTCGCAATTGGCATAATATCTGGTCGTCGTCTGCTACTCTTTTTGTAGTTTATTGCGGTGTTCCCGGTCTGATTCGCAATAAAACGTAGCCATATTTAGTGATGACAATGCTCCCACTCCTTTCACAGTAGCGAGTGTGTGTGCGTAATTGGAAAAAATGATAATGGACCTAAGTTATTTATGGACTGAAGCCCCAAGGAAGCCCTCAGGCGTAGGTTTCTTTTCACACACGTATTCATTTACCGCAAGGCAATCATACATAGTGAGTCTCAACGTGTGCATGCCTAAAAGAAATCGCGCCCACTCATATTGATACACAATAGTTAATCTCGACTTTCGGAAAGGCAGTAGAATTTTTTTCGGAAAGGCAGAAGAAAAAGCCATAATGACGCCGTGCGGGGTCCTTCGCCTCCTTTGAGAA